GAAAGAGTGAAGAAGAGATTGAGGCTGAGGAAAATCATGAGATTGAGGACAAAGAAGATGAGGATGAGGACGAGGAATACGAAGAAGAGGAAGATGAGGAGTCAAGTGAAGGTTAGACAGATTCATATCTCTTTCCTTTCTGCTACACAGCAGGGAAAACTGAGTTAAGTATTTGCCATGCAGAATGAGAAAGATTTGCCTTGGAAAACTTTTATTCTTTCACTTCTTTATTGCTTTGATTTTTTAGGGAGTTGTTGTCAAGGAAAGCTTTAGGTGGATCATTCTCGATATAGAACTTTGCTGATGGGGTAGTTACAGCACTAATACCAACAAAACATGCTTCCCATACATCATGCCAAGATGTGCAATTCACAGCTTTGTGACACTATTGTTTTATTGTTGTTTTTTATTATTATTGGGAATTGGATTTGAATGTGCCCTTTGTTCTTTGGCAGCAAGAGCTGGAAGCATTGTGGAAATGGTGGTTTCACTTTTGTAGAGTGCCTCACGTAGGGCAGTAATGCCCTGTAACTGTTGTCAGGGCATCCCAGAAGAAGCTGCTTGTAGCTCTCCTTAGTTAAAAGATGGCCTTGAGAAATCAAGGAGTTTAGGTGATTCCCATTTTGTCTTTGAGGGATTTCTGTGGTAAATCTTCAGGAAAGACTCCTTCCCTATGTTTGTCTCAGTCATCAAAATGCAAAGTTTGCTATGAATTGATGTTTCTCCAGTGTTTTGTCAGCATACCAGTTTTCTCACTGATCCTGTCTTTGTACTCACATTTTGTTTTTGTGAAGACTACTAGACTCCAAAGAGCTTCTTCGTAAAGGTCTTTGGCTGGCTGATGCAAGCAGAGGTCCTGTTTTTTGAGTCTTAGGGGCAGTTTTGTTGAGGAGCTCAGCAAGCTGCTTGGCTAGTTTTTCAGCCTAGGAGCTGTCTTTCCATAACTGAAGTCTGTGCAAGTAAAGACTGCTTTTTAAGTATGGTAACATGCATGCTGTGTGTTCAGTTTGCTAAACCATGGTGTTCTTGGACAGACAGTGTTTCATTTGAGCAGTTTTCTTGTCAGAGACTTTGAATACAACGGGTGTATGGGGAGTTGCTGGATTTCCAGGCAGCCTGTCTTTCTGATTCTGTCCTTTCTCTCTTTCTATCTCTCCATCACTTGTTTGTGTACACGCATGTCTGGTGTTATATATGGATGTGTGGTTCCCTCTGCTGTAGAGGGGGAGTATTGCCCTTGGGAGAGAGAGCTGCAGGAAGGCCTCTGGCTTGAACGTCTCTCAAATGAAGAGGACATGGGTACATGTAAAGGTACCCGTATGCCATCTCCACTTTCATTTCCCCAAAGGAGGGGGGAATGTTTTAAAGAGCAGGTCCCACATGAGCAGTTTCTGCGTTTTATTAAATTGCTTTACCAGCTGCCTAGAAACTGATTCAGGAGCTGTTTTTATCTTAATCTCCTGGTTCAAGTGCCATGTATCAGATCTAACATTAGCACTGATTTTAGGAAAAAGAGATGACCAATACTTGAGGATATCTGAAGAGCCTGAGCAATTTGCTACAGTAACATGCATGAACATTATGACCTCTATGTATTTAGGAGTTCCAGATTTGTTCCATACACACATACTGATTGCAGCTGTGCAGTATGTCAGACACATGGGACACATCAGAAGTACTGCCTTTAGATTGTCTGTGTCAGCAAACTTGCATTTTTTGTTTTTGTCCTTTTGTGAGTGTTTGTCTATGGGAAGAGTCTGCGGGGGGAAGCTAATAAAGCTGTGGCAATCCCTCAAGATTTTTCAGTCATATAATGGACATAAAATTAATCTGATTTTTTTCTGTTATACATTCAGTTTATTTCTGATAGTTGATTTTTTTAAGCACTTTTTTTGAAGCAGTTGTCAATTCTTTTTTTTTAAACAAAAAAGAAAAAGAGAAAAAAAAGAGGTGTTATAATTTTTTCCAGTTTAGCATTTCTGATGGTAAGAATGAGAAGTATTAGTAAGATGACTAAAGAGCATAACTGAAGCAGTTCCCTCTGTTGCAGTTGCTAGTGTGCTTTAGATCTGGCTCCTAAGGAGCTGATTCGCAGGTGCCTTCTCATTCCATTAAACATAGAGACTGCTTGCTGCTGGTAAAGTGTGGTAGGTGATATGATGGAACTAGAGGGGAAGCTACCTTTCCAAATGTAAGTGCAATTCATGTCTAGCTTTCTGCAAAGCTTAGCAGGCAGCCTTGAGGAAAGGCTATTCAGGTGTCCTCTGAAATTCTCAAGCATTTAGACCTCAAGGAAACATTTGGTTTGCCTATTAGCCAAGCAGCAGTCCTTCATGTCTGGCTGTGCTGCTGTTTATTTAATGAAAAAGGTGAGAAGGACCCATGTCCTGATTAGTACAGGCTCGGGCCTCTGTCTAGAGACTTGTGGAGTAACTGTGTATTCTACATTGGTCTAAATCCCAGAGAAATTTTAAAACATCCAAATCATGTAGGACCTGCTCTTTCTTAGCCTTGCTGAGTAACTATACGTCTCAGCTGTTGCTGGCGAACCTAAACCTTTTAACACAGAATTTTGTGTGGCAATGCAAATGCTAACTCTACTCATCTTGGGGCTTGCATGCAAGTGCTTTGCTATGGAGTGAGAAAAGTCTGGGCTCCTGTCCCTGCAGGATGTCCAGTAGCTCCGGTAGACCACATGGCTATGCTAATTGATAAGAAAACTCTCTGATGAGGTGATAGAGAGGTCAAACTGCCAAATACTTGGCTAAATTGTGGATCCCACTCTGCATTTGAGTTTGGGCCTCTGATCCCTTTCCTTATTTAATAACCAGCTGGTGATTCTATCCTTCCTGCAGTTCCTTCTTGCCTGTTTCTTCTGCAGTTTTAATGCCAAGTCTCACACATTCTGAAACAGAATTCCCAAACACTTCGTTATGTCTGGGGAAAACACAGTCAGGAAAGAGAAACTTGGTTAAAACGAGACAGCAGGGAATGAGTGCAGCCTATAAATGCTGCTAATGTTTCTTGTTTCCTTGAAGCACTAATACACCATATGAAAAACTTAACTGCTTTTGGGGATCTAAACTGCTGAAACAGTGTTTTGCCCTATTCTGCCCTACCTTACTGTATGTAAAGCAGCTGTTTTGAAAATTGACCTCCTACGTTATAAAGTGTGTGGGCATTTTCCTTTCAAGATTACTCCTTTGCCTTTGAAGGCCACTCGTGCAGGTGTTGAGTGCCTGTCTCCCATAGAATGAGTTTTTTTAATCTTGGGTAAATAGAACCTGAGTTATAGCCCCATAAGAAATATCAATGGAGCCAGGGGAAAGGAAAGGAAAGGAAAAAGGAAAAAGGGAAGGAAGTTAGTTGGGGGGTTTGCTAAGTCACAGTTAAAATGCTACCCTTCAAACATAAAAGCAGGAGAAAATGAAGCAGGGTTTTTAAGTGCTAAAGTCAGTGTATGCCCATGTGTGCATATGCACATACACACATGAAACACTGAGATCTATCATGTAATTTAATTTACAAAGAAATATGTACCCAGCATAGAAAGGAGTCCTTAACCCAATAGTAGGAAATGGAAGACTTTTTGGTGTGTCAAACTACAATGCAGATTGTCCCTTGCCCTTAAGAGCAAGATGTCTTTGACAATATAGGTAATAATAGGTTGAAGGAACTGGAAATGTCTGCCAAACTGGTACTAACAAACCATGTACTGTTGGACACCCAGGGAATGTCTTTCATTTCAGCGAAGCTGCTTGCCATGGAGATGTTCTACAATGATGTTTTTCATAGCATCTCCTTACCTTTGGAATGGCATTATTCAGCTGTGATGGGAAGTATGAGGAGCACTGTATTGTTGTATGTGCTGAGCTTTCTCTGTCTGTGTTGCAAACTGACCTTAGCCAGTAATATTTTCTTGTCTTCTTATTTCCTTTCCTGTGATGTGTTACCTTTCCTTGCCACTGTCCCTCCCGTCTTTTCCTCCCTGTCCTTCATACACCTTGCCTACAACCTGGTATGCCATGCCCTCCTCCTGCTAGCTGGAAACCTTAGACTGAAGCAGATTGTAAATCCGGTTGATCCTCTGGAGATCCTGGCAGATGTGCACTGGACACACATCCGTGAAAAAGAGGAGGAGGAAAAAATGGTCCCAACCTCAGAGTCCTCCACCTCCAGAGGTAATGTCCCCCAAGCCCCACACTGTCAATTCCTGGATCATGGTTGCAGCTGTTCAACTCTGTTGCTTCTGCGCCCTTGAAGAGTGATGTATTTCAGCATGGGCAGAAGTGATTGAAAGGAACTAGTTTCAAATTACACTGAAATGGCACTTGATTAAACATTTTGCTTTTCAGGTCAGTGTTTGCTTAAAATGGGTGTTTTCTCAGCTCTGTGGTGGTGTGATGACTTCTGACCCCTTTGTCTGCCTGTTTTGACACCAATAGCATTTTTTATCTTGCACTCAGGATTTGATGGTGCTGGCAATCAGCTCTCAATATCTGACTTCAGGGATAGTAATAGAAGTTGTCATGTGCTTTTTGTGGCAGCAAGAAGTCTATCTAAGGAAAGCTGAGGGGCTAGGTTATGTAGTTACTACAGCAAGTCTGGACAGGGTTAGCTTCTGTATTGAGCATATTTCTCTGCTGCTACTATTCCAAGTATGTGGTATTAGTAGGGAATGATAATAGTGGTTCAAAGGACTTAAAAATCTGATCAGTGGTGGTTTTCACTCCCTGTGTTTAAGATTTGACAGTGTATCTGTTTTTTAAAGTGCAGTGTGACCTTTATGAGTTGCCATTAAAAGGAAAACTTAGGAGAGGGAAAATACCTATAGTTTAGCTCCCTTGTAAGCACCTTTCAGCAGTCCCTGCTGACCTAATTCTAAACTATATTACAGCTTGTCTTAAGGTGAGTGTGTTGTAGGTGCTTTATTTATGCAGAAGGCTAGGCTTAATAACAGTTAATCATGTAGTTGATGAGTAGTGGTCTTCTCTCAGAGTCTGTAACCATTATGCCAGAATTGTAGAGGGACTAAGTATGCTGTGGGAAGGAGTGTCTTTTACAGAAAAAGTGAAATAAAGTTAATGACTGATCTCTATTAAAAACACATAGGGCTTTTACCTCTTGTTGCCTGATCGTATTCCATTCCAGATAATTATCTTTTCCTTGTAGTTCTAGATGTTTGGGTGGGGTTGTTTTAATCCTTGTCCAACTTGGTGCAGAGTTCCAGATCAGTTTGGCTATGCTTACGATTCAGTTCGTAGAATGCACTGGGATTTTCTGGTGTGAAATCTGCTCCCTACAAATAAGAGATGGGTATTTCCACTGCAACCACAGAATTAGGCCGTGTTCAACTCTATAACATTCAGTATTGCTAGAGTATTTGCTTGCTGTTCAAAAACACTAAGTAAAAAATGTTAACACAGCTTCTTACACTTATTACAGTTAAGGTTACTTTAGCTTCTGCTTGAGGGTCTGTAGCTTCCAAATTTTTATTTTAATTTATATTTTATAATTTCTACTTTACCATGGTGTATTGGTACACCTGCCAGCAAAAGATAATCCTTCCAAAACTGGTTTTGTGGTCTTTCCAACTTTCTTTGGGAAGAAGGCAGTATTTATTTTCCTTTCTCTAAAACTGGGACAAACTAGGACAATGCTGATCAAGTTTAGCTGCATCAATTTATTTGTCATATAGTCCAGGTGTGTACAGGTGTGTCAGCAGTTTGTTGGGTTTTTTTTAAGGGCTATCACCAGTGAGTACTTGTGGGTATGCTGTAAGTTTTCAACCTGAGTTCAGTAGAAAAAATTTACCCTGACTGAGCTGTATTCTATGATACGAGGTTTTTGGAGAGCCCATCACTAGCAGCAGCAACAGGGTTTGATGTGAAATCCCTGGATAGTGTGATGGTGCACAGAAGCCATTCTCATTCTGCTTTGAGTGCTCTTCTTCATCTGCTGACATTTGCATTGGGGCAGCACAGGTTCTGGGATGCCTGTTACCACTGCTCCTCCCTCCTTGGTCAGCCTGTCATCTTTTAATTTCTCTCTGCAGAGTTTGAAATGCAGCTCAGCAGCAGCAACATGCTGATCAGATGGTACATTTTTCTTACTGTGACATCTGTATTGCCTCTAATATTACAGATCCTAAAGGAAGATTAGGTCCCTGGCATTTGTATGTTGTCTTGATGTGAATACCAAGCCTGGAGGCTGTTGTTTAACGTCTTGTAGGTTTTATTCCTGTATTTGCTACTGAAAATTTCTCTTTGTCACTCTTCTGTTTTCGACGCTTACTGATGGTCTAATTTTGATTTCTTACAATTTATTGTTTTTTAAATTCAGCATCCGACCTTCCCTCCGTACGCCATGAGGCGGTACAGGCGTGGCTGGATACAGTCCCTGGAGGTAGTTTGGTGATGTTCTATGTATTCCAATGCACAATAACCCTGCCCGTCTCTTCTCCATGCCTTCAGCAGCTCAGCTGGTACTTTAACCCTGGAACTTACGGCCCTGTCGCTACTGCATGACTGGACGTGGAGGGAGGGAAGAGGGGGAAGTGTGCATGCACGCCTTGCTCAGACAGTCCATTCTTGCATGAACTCAACATTTGTTGTAATCCTTCTAGAAGGCAGGCCAAAGAGAGAGGTTATCTTGGGTGTAGCAAAGCAGAAGAAGGAATCTTGCGGAAGGCTTCACTGACTTTGTAAACTGGATTATTCTTCCTGTAGCTCCTTGACGAAAAGAGCATGGGGCTTTCTTGCAGTCAAAAGATTTAAGTGACAGAGAGTGCTTAAAGCAACTGCAGTTCTCTGTAGCAACTGCAAACTCTACTTACCTGGTGAAGAAAACAAGAAAGAAGAATAAAGTTGAAGTTAGGATATTTAGAAATAGTGACGGCTGTTGTGTCTCCTTGGACTTGGAGTTCATGTTATTTAGGGAAGCCTTGGGGGAGCTGAAGGGTGCAAGAGCTCAGCTGCTTTTTTATGTGGTCCTCAAAGCTCTATTACAAAACCGATGAGCATGAAGGTTCTTGAATTAAAGAGTAAGGGAGTAAATTTGTGTAAAGCAGTGAAAGTATCGAAATAAGTGGAACAGCATTAGTTTGTGGCTAGGCAGTTGATCTACAGCTACGTTGCTTTGGCACATCAGAACAGCTAGCTTGCCTATAAAACTTTGCTTCTGCTGCTGCTTTGGCAGTGCAGCAGTTTACAAGATGTCTGCACATGGTGCAGTCTGCTCGCAGCTGCTAGCTGGTATGAACCAAGTGCTGATCCCAGTTTCTGGCTGCCATAGTGTGTAGCTTCTGAGTTATTGTGTGGCAGCTTTTGGCCTCTTGCTCTTTATCCTAACTGCATATACGTATATGCACAGTATATGTATAGTATAACCAGCCACCTGCAAGCTCTCCATGTCCCTCAAAATGGGATCTACCCTTGCACCAAGTTGATACTTACCTATGCATCTGTAGTCTTCTGTTGAGTTTTGTGTACCAACCTCTTTAAGAATTTATTTTCCCCTCTTGCTCCAACATGTTCCCTGTGTGTCATGTCAATTCATGGTTTCTGCAGCTGAAGACACACATATACATAGTGATACCAGATATCCTGACATCAGAGTTATATTTTTGCAAGTTTTGATTAAGATTGCCTGCATTTGCTGCTACCATAAGACCATCCCATATACATTATTCTTTCCAAGCTAACATGTTACTCCATACCTCAGCAACACTCAGACTGGAGCACAGTTTGGTTTTGTTCGCTAGACTAGTAATGCCTCTGTGGGCAGTCCAACCTTTGCCATATGATTCAGCCGCCTACACTCAACATCTGTAATGTCTGGATTTTATAAGCCTTTGACGTAAGCGAATTGGCCAGTTTTTTATCACATGTAAGGGTGATAAACAGTGATAATTGTCTTTTCACAGTAGTTGACAGAAAGTAAACTAACCCATATGTGTGCCTGCCTTAACACTACAGAGGGGAGAAACATGGAAAAAGATAAATTCTCAGGTTGAAGGAAGAAGACAAACCACCCACTAAAGGCTGTGTTTTGAAATAAACAAAAACCTGTATTAGAGAAAGAGGAGAGGCTGAAAGACCTCAGTTTTAGGGAGTATTGGTTTGTTTTCAAGGTTGTCTTAATTAGCAGTGCTAGCATATGAGTGAATCCAAAAGCCACATTGTCACTCGTAATCTATAAAGGATCAGAGCCTGATTCTTGATTTGGGGAAGCTGACACAGCATGATTCACTCCCACATGGCTAAACTTTTTTGCCATGCAGAATCAGGGGGCTGCATCCTACTGCCTGTTGGAAACAGCTTCTATCCCTACCATAGGAACTAACCGCTGGGAGTCCTGCTGGGAGCCCTCCAAAAGATTGGCAGTGTGACACTGTTGCATTCACATCCAGAGACTTGCACCACGTAGTTTACTGGTATAGGTGCAACCAAGAGTTATAAAATTAATGTTATCATTGTTATAGGACCATATCCTATGTATATAGTTCTCAAATGTGCATAACAAGACATGCTAACTGTGTGTGCATTTGCAATAGGATGTACAACAGAGTTAAATAATCTGCATGTTGCTGAACATGAATTGATGGTAACTTGCTGCACAAATCCAAAACCTGACTGACTGTACTATGGAAAAAAACCTGAAGTGATCACTTTTTTTTCCTCATATTTAAGTTATGTTTTCTGAAAACGTTAACAAAAGAAAGGGCAAATAATCCATAGCACTAAAGATGGGACAAGGTGTCATACATAAGGTTTATAAAAAAGTATCATTTAATAATGATATTTAGACTCCACAGTTCAGTCTTGTCTTTCTTCTGTAATTAAATCCTGTCACAAGTAGCAATCTCAAATACCCTTTCTGGAGTTACAAATTCAAGCATCTTTTCTTATTTTGACCCAGCAAATCGAATTATTATTATCCGAACAGCAACAAAAGTTTTTTAACATATTTACCTGAAAAATCTCAGTTGATTTCTGTTCTTGTTACTTGTACAGCAAATCAAGTCTCTGACCCTTTCGCCAACATAGCTGTGCAGAGTTAAACAGTTTCCATATGTCATAATGAGAGATCCTAGAGCTCTCTAGCTCTCTCCAACTTACACCCTCAAAAGCCTGTTTCAGTTTCAAGATGAACAGTTGTGGTGCTTTGTGAGACTTCAGTTTTCACCTAATACACATATGCTATTAAATGTGGTAACTGTTCTGATGTGGTAATGAAAAATATTATCTTCCTGAAAGAACAGTAACATGTATTTTGTTTTGATGTCCTCCCATTTCCCTTCATGTCTAATTTTTTACTAGGCTTGTGGCTCAGAAAAGCCCTGTCTGCTTTCACTGCAGATGCCTTGGAGACTCCCCAGGGGCAGGCATTCCTTGATTCATTGGAGTTTGGAAGTATCATTTTGCCACAGATGTCTTTCCAGATAACACATTTCAGGATTTCTTGCTTTGACAGTACTTAATAAATACCTCCACTAAAAACTGTTGGTACAGTTCAATGTAGAACCTTTTCACTGTATAGTTTGGTTTATTATTTTTTTTCTCAATATTTGAATATATTCTAGCTCCATGTGAGGATAACGATGTGGAGGACGAGCTGGGCACAGAGCCTGCAGACACAGAAGGGCAGGCAGGTGAAGAGGGAGACACAGGTGCAGAGCTGGATGATGGTAGAGTACCACTGTGCATCATTTAAACCCATTGTGTGAACAAAGTGTTGGCAGAAAATACGTTGTATTAGTGTACTTAGACCTGGTTTTAGTTTTAGTGATACAGGAGTTTGTTTCAAATAGTCAGAAGGGAGCCAGGAATGAAGGACAAAAAGAAACAGAACAACCTCAATGCCATGGGTTGTAGAGTGAGTTTCTTGTCCTCTCACCATGTCCTAACTGCAGGACTTGGTCTTGTGTCTGTATTCAGTACTAATCCTGCTGAACAACACAAATAGAAGTAAACTTGTGAAAAGTCCACAATATTATGCCAACAGTCTTCCCTTGCTAGTGTAAAATGAACTGCATATGCCAGAAAACATTGGAAAATTTCCATAAAATTAGTAAGGTATGACTTCAATTACTAATTTAGTCATTTTTACTAATTTTCCATCATTTACTGCTTAAATAACTCTAACACACAAAGAAAGGAGTGAAACTTTTAAACTTTTAGATGTTCAGGCTATGAAAATAAGAATCATATGAAGAAAGAATTATGAAAGATTTTAAAATAATAATGAGATGTCCTGATGGAGTTGTATCCAAGATCTCTTGTTTTTCCCCCTGCCCCATCTGTGATCAGAGGACATCCCATCTGATGCAGAAGCAGAGTTTCGCTTACATCACGGTGGTGTAGAAGAGCCAGAACTAAAAGTCTCTGAAGATGAAGAAGATGAAGAGGGAGCAGAAGGTGCTTCTTCCAGTGTGACAGAAGGTAATAGCTTTTCCATCAGTGTTTGAATGACTGTAATTGCATTTGAGTTAGTCTATACATTTATTAGATTTAAGAGAAGACAGTATTTTGGATTTGAAACATCTCACTTCTGTTAGTGGCAAGGTATGTACTTGCATTCACATTTTGAGAAGAATGTTCTGAGTCCATTAATTACTGCTTCCTAAAGTGGGAAAAAATTTTTGTCTATGTTCCAGATGTCCAATCTAGCTGAAAAAAATTGTCACTTCTTACTGTGTTTAACATTAAAAAAAATACAATATTAATGGTCTCATGTAATTTTGGAAACTTTTTTTTTCTCTAGATCCATGCAAGCCATCCATTCCTGTCCAGCCATCTAATGACAGTGTTCTTCCTCTCTCTCCAGCTGATAGTCCCAAAGCAAAACAAGCTGAGGTAAGAAAGGGAATCTTTGAATTTTTTTACTTGCTATCTGTAGTTAAGTAGAAGTGTTTGTTGGATTAACTAGTGAGGACTGACAGTAGTTCCTGTCTGTATGATTTATGTTGATCTTCTTGAAATCTTACTTCATTTATACTTTCAAAAGAACGTACTATATTTCTTACCTGTCTTCAAGAAGTGTTGTAGCTCTGTCAAACTCACAAGTTCCCATCACAAAGCCCCCAAAAGAGTTGTATAGGATATTTTTAATGTCAGCATGCAGTTAGTAAAAGATCTGTATTATGAACAAGAGGTAAGGTGTTTCCTGTTTGGCCTGATCTGGCTAGCTTTTCTGTACCAAAAACAGACTGTACAGTTGCAATTAAAAATTTTATTTGCATTACTTAGTAGTAACGAAAGCAGTGCTCATTTATTTCAGAGTAAAAACATGACTCAGCTTAAGGAAGTGAGACATGCCAATGATGTGCTGTTGTGTTGTCAGCCCTGGTGTCAGTGTGCAACCATACCTGTGGTGTTGCCAGCTACTGGTGTGTAAGAGCAGGAAATACAAGACTCTTAAAATGTTTCTTTCCAATTTTTCTCTCACAAGTGTTTCAAGGAATTTCTAAAAGATTAAACTGCTTTATGACAAAACTCTCCAGGGTGAAGTGTACTTTTACAATGGACACATTATGGGATAAGGCTGGTTTGCTGACAGCAATTGCTGACAACATTCACTTTCTATTAAAATTAAAGGGTTGTTTTTTCCAAGACCCTCTAATGATTGTTAGACATAGTTATTACCTGTATCAGGACAGTGCCTAAATGAAGGAAGTACCCAAGACTTGGGTGCTTAATTTATGTAATACAAGCTCACAGAGAGGTTTGTGCTCGAATGGTCATATGTCAGTTAATCCAAACAAGAAAGCTAGTGCAAAAGATGCCATTGGAAAGAATAATACCAGATCTCAATTAAGAGGAGTCCACTGCCTGAGGGTTAAATTGTATCACAACAAATTGTGTTACTGAGTAATACACCATTCTGGGTGTAGAGGATGGAAACTGAGACTTCTCAGACCACTAAGGAACAGTGGAATCGAAGCCTAATATACTTTTAACAGTGAAGCACCCCTTGCCTCTAAGAACACATTACAGCAGATGCTAGCCAGCAGGAAGTGCTGTTTTGGTGAGAGCTGGAGAGACTTGCATCAAATCTGAGGGGCTACTACAATATACAGAGTTGGAGGTTTGAAGGGAGAGCAGGAAAAGATAGAAGTGGATTTCTGGAACTTAATCTTTTTTCTTCCAAAAATTAAATTTGCCTTGTGTCAGCTACAAAGGACAATGTATTTTAAAAAAAAAAATTAATAAAAATTATATATATTCTAATGTGTCCAGTGACTATTAAATTTTCCCTTTCATTTTCTGTAGGATGCAAAAGACCACCTGGCTGAAGTATCCCGTGCAATAAAATCTCCAGAGGCACGCTTTTTCCCTGAACCTTTCCTTCCTGAAGAAGGACAAAAGAGTGAAATTCCCAAAGACAGGAGAGTTAAGAGCCCTTTGATGCCACCATCTCCAGTGTTATCCCAGCCAGTTGCATCACCAGAAGCCATTGCACCTACATCACTAGGAGCATCTCAGCCAGCAGCACCAACATTGGCTTCATCCCCAACATCTGGTCAAATGCCTATCTGTTCCCAGCCTTTGCCTTCTGCTGAAACACCCATTCCATCCCCAGTGGAGCCTCCAGTATGTTTCCAACCTGTCCCAGCCTTAACGTCTACTCCTTTAGCCAAACTGGTCCTTAGGAGCCAGGATGGTGAGGTGGAAAAACTGGGGAGCCCTACTACTGCAGAAGAAGCCTTGAAACGGAGTAACCTTGTAGAAGAGTTCTGGATGAAGAGTGCTGAAATCCGGAGGAGCTTAGGGCTCACCCCAGTAGACAGAAACAAACGCTCAGAGACAAACTTTAATGTATCTGCCCTTGAGACAACTCCTCTGAAGAATATTTCAGGGGTTGAAAGGACTGGTCTTGTGAAACCCCAGCCTGCCCCAAGAAGACAGGGACTGTCTAAGTTAGAAAACGAACAGATTGCACTGCTGTCTCCAAAATCTCCGTCGGAAAAAGAGCTAAGGAATTCCTGTGAAGCAGGGAGAGAAGTATCCAGCAGTTCTGGACTTGGCCTTCAGGAGAGCTCATCTAACATGAGAACTATGGCTAGCCAGAGCTTCAATACTTCTGACTCTACCATGCTTACTCCTCCATCCAGTCCCCCACCACCACCTCCTCAAGATGAAGAACCAGCCACTTTGCGTAGAAAGAGGCATCAAGCAGTCTGGCAGAACGAGGTTGAAGCCAAGTCACCTCCAACACCAGCACCGACACCTCCTGCTCCCCCACGCCATGAGCCAACCTCTGCTGCCAAAGGGTCAGCCCAGGCCAAAAAAGACGATGTGCGGAAGTCTTTTGCAGAGAGTGTGGATGAGATTCCATTTGCTGACGATGTAGAAGACACCTACGATGACAGGACAGAGGACTCAAGCCTTCACGAGAAGTTTTTTACACCTCCTACCAGTAGGCCAAGGCCAGAGAAACCAGTTCTTTTGCCCTTGGTCAAAGAAAATGGGGGTCCACCCTTAATGGAAGGAGGGGGTAACCAAAAGAAGAGAGTGTTGCCTGAAATTTCTGTGGAGGCTAAGGAGCTTGCTGAAGAAAGAATGAGAGCCAGAGAGAAGTCTGTTAAGAGCCAAGCACTGCGTGATGCCATGGCTAAACAGTTGTGTAAGATGAAAGAGATGGAGATGGCTGCTGCTGCTGCTGGGGCCACGAGGGCACGAAAGGCATCTTCTATGCCCTTGAAGACCAAAGAGTTGTTTTATGACTCTCCAAAGCATCTGGCCTTGAAAATAGCAGAGGCATCCACACGAAAGCATGATGCTTCTAGTGAGAAATTCTCCACTCCTGCTGCTGAAATGGCAGGACCTGAAGGGTCTGTCACCTCTTCAGAAGGTTCCAGTGGGAAGAGTAAGAAAAGAACTTCTCTTTTCTCCCCTCGTAAGAACAAAAAGGAGAAGAAAACAAAAAATGACAGCAGGCTTTCTGACAAATCTAGTGGTGGGACAGAGGAAGCAACAAAGCCTAGGTCCTTATGGAAGTCCGTTTTCTCTGGGTATAAGAAAGACAAGAAGAAAAAGACTGATGAGAAGTCCTGCCCGAGTACTCCCTCAAGTGGTGCCACTGTGGATTCTGGCAAGCACAAAGCTTCTCCGTTTGTTACAGCTGCAGGTATAACAGATACGTGCTCCTGCAGTGGGTGCTTTTCCTTTAGCTAGGAGGTATTCTTGAAAGTAGGTTTGGCTCATTTTGTCATTCAGCCACCGCAGCCTCTTGTAAATTTCTGACATGATCTCAGGTGCAGGCAGAGGTTTTTCTTGGCAAATTGTGATACAGTAAATAAGTTAGCCATAGATGTCCTTTGAAAGTGAACATGTTGCATTTCTCTGGTCCTGTACAGATAGCCAGAATAATGCCAGCTGCTGTCATCCAAGTGCTGAATCTTTCATGCAAGCATTGATGCAGTACAAAGGGAGAACCATGACCATTATTTTTAACAGCATTTGCAGAAAGTGATGCTGTCTTAGAATGAAGCTTCTAACTAGTATCGATCATATGGTGAAGCAGTGCTTCTCTGATCACTATGTAATCCCACGTGAAGCTACTGAGACTGGCATAAAAAGACTAAATATGCTTGAAGCTCAATCAAACCATTTATCTGCTGAGTTCTGTTGTGTTTATAGAAGGAATAGTTAACCCTTTCTAAATTCCTTTTTTTATTCCCGGCTTCTCAGATTTGCAGCTCCGCCAGCACCTGAGTTTCTCAGAAGACTCCGACATCTCCAGTGATGATATTCTGGAACGGTCCTCCCAGAAATCTAAGCGAGAGGTAGGTGGATAGAAAATGTGTTTTAGGTGGATCCAGCATTGTGCAGATTACAGGCTCAGAGAACCGTATGAGAAACTTGGGTGATTCATTTTGCTCTTGTTACTGTTTCTTCCATGGAACAGGCTTTTCTGTAATTTGGCTGACTGTTCTACAGAAGGGAAGTTGGTTTCACTTGGTTTCACAATTGCAAGCTGCTCCCCACTGTTACATGAAGGATCTGTTTTCTCACTGTGACATGACTTGACAATGAATATCAAAGTCAGAATAGCAAATTTTGTCTCTGTTGTGAGTATACTAATGGTCTACAGAAAACAGACTTTAAATGTCAGAAGAGTAAATTTCACTGGCTCATAGGTCATTGCAAAAAGATAACTTGCACTTTTTGTAAGGGTCCAATTTTAGAATATTTTTTACCAGCCTCTTTGGTAGATGGAAGTGGTAGAATTCTTGGCAAGCTACAAACAGGAATGTACTTTTGCAAACATCAAGAACATAGTCAAGACAGATCACGAACTAAGAGGTAAGCTACAGACTGCAGCTTTGCAACTCATGTAAGTTTGCTTCTGTTTCCTGGGAGAAGAGAACGTCTACAGTCTGAATGAGTATCTTCTGTTTTTGGAAGAAAGAGAAGCAATTAGCTGTTTCTTGTATTTTGACTGTTTTCTTTGAGAACTTGGTAGTAGCTGAGTATTTCCCTATGTCTGTATGTGTAGATAAAAACCATGAAGCTGAAATACATAGTATTGAGCCTTGATGAAATGCCAGCATATAGGGGTTAGTCTTAGCCTGGTGTTCTCATTCCAGTGTGGTCTGCTATGAACTCTGCTTCTTCTGAGAGAGCTGTTAATTCTTCCTGACCAACTTTACCTAATTAGTCCTATAATGTCCAATTGTAAGACGTACCAATGGCTTTCTAGCCAGAATTGTTTCACTTGAAATGGTGCTTTAAGGAAATTTTTGAGGAGGAAAGAGGAGACACCAGTGGATCTCCATAAAAGCCTAGAGAGAAAAATACATTTAGTTTATTTGCATGTATTTATGTTTGGAAAATACATGGTGAGATCCAAGAGCCAAAGTTAGTTGCTTTTAAACTATTTCAATTTTAAGATGGCACTATTAATGCAAAAATAAGTGGAAACTGTGAAGAATTGCTCAGTCTTAGTAATGAGGAAGAGTCCTTTCACTCCTGAGAGCTTCTAAGCTCTGCAAGACAGAGTTTGCAAGGTTTGGAGGAGTAAGCAGAGATTTAAATGACCCCACAGAAGACTAAGCCACCCTTCTGGTACTGAAGAAAGAAAAATGTTTTCCCCCAGTCCATTCCTGGTGGTGCCTGGTTCACATATTAAAAGAAATTCAGGGAGAATGTTTTAGAGGTTTGTGTCAAAGAATTAGGTCTGTACCTTCTGTCTGAAACGTGTCATCCAGGTTGCACACAGCTGTCTCAAATGGCAGGATCTAGTTGACTCTTGGCTCAAATGGCCAAGGTATGGAAGCACTGCAAACTGAAGTGTCACAGGAAATATTTTCTGTGTATATGTAGTGGAATGAATTAGAATCACTAATGAACTTCAGGCTGGTGGAAGGAGTTGATGAAGTAAGTAGGAATTTTCTGTATTTACTTAACCTCTCTTTTAATCTCTCTCCCTAGTTGATCTAGACCTTTCCTAAGAGGAAGGTTGTTTTGTTTTTATTTTATTCCCTTTTTTCTTTCCCCCTTCCATTCCTCCTTGCATGCCCTGAAGGTGTTCCATGAGAAATTCTGCATTTTCCAAGAGATGCAGAAGAATGAGGTACCTGTGGCTAGCAGAGGACAGATGTGCAATACAGGGGGTTCAGATAAGCATTTCTGAGTTACTGTTCTGCCTCTTAAGCTCCTTCAGGAGGGAGCAGGGCTTCAGCAAGGTCCATTCTTCTTTTCAGACTTTGTTATGCCTAGATGGTCACTTTTTTTTTCTGTGCTGAGTTACTTTGATTTAAAATGGCTTTTGCAGAAAAAAAAGACCTCATCACTTAAGCTTTGGAGGGGACAGGTGACAGTAGCAGATGCCTGGAATAATGCTAATTAGACACCTAATACTGAAAATACCTTGCCAGCTCTGCCAAGGGTGTGGTGGTGGTGTCTCATTTTCTCCCATATGCTGTTGCTGAAGTTACACTGGAATTTCTTTGCTCAGCATCTACTTATTTTCTAAATAATGATATGTGAATTAATATAGACGACATAAATCTGAAAACTCCACTTACCTAGTTTTATTGCATCCTGTCCAAAGATGCAGAATGTATAGACAAACCCCGGAATGACTGACTGTCAAAAGAAATGTAACTGAACTTCGAGACTAAAAAAACTGGGTTTGTACTGATTTGGGGTGGGGGACTGTATTTTTTAAGTTACAAATTACCTGCTACCTACTATGGGTGAGACTTAACTTCCTGTGTGCTACGTAACTTATGTGAACCCCTTCTCTAAACTGCAATTTTGCTTGTGCTCCTTTTTTTTCAACTGTAGTGAGCTTGCTTCCCAGACAGCTTGCTCTGTTTAGCCTGTCTTTTGTGAGCAGCAGTGAATTAATTCAGTGTTGTTTAGTGTCATGTCTATCAAGAGAAGCATCTTGTAAAGAATTCCTACTGTAAATGCCCTATGGGTCTCGTGTTTATAGGTGTGTTGTCATTGTGCGTGTGCTTGTTGTTGTTCCTGTACAATTGTGGTGTTGTGATCGGACCTCTGTTTTTACTACTGCAGGTAGTTTGCTTTTTACTGAGGTATGCAAACATGCTGAAGTTGTTCTGTGGCTTTTCCTTTGTGACTGTTTTTAGTTAATTGAATGTGAAAATGCAAAATGCTGGCTGTTTGCCCAGAATGGCACAATGCCCTTTGAACTTCATGACACAAGGGAAATTTAACTCTTGTGAACTGGCCTTATTTTTAGGTACAGGGAGATATAGAACACCTTGGATAGAGCAGGCAGTGATTTCGCTGCCCATGTTTTGCCCTCCTCCCTCCCCTATATTTTGTCCCTCTCCCTCCCCTGTGTTTTGTCACCCCTGATGTGTTTTGCTCCTATCCCTCCCCTGTGTTCCCCCCCACTTCTATCCCTTCTTCCATAATTTTAGCCTCTCAGGCTCTCTTTTTACAAAGGGAGATTCCATTACTTTAGGACACATGACCCACTCTGAGCCCATCTAATATTTCTCCTGTCACAAAGCAGTGATGAAGATTTATGATGGTAGTAAAATGCAAATGATCATTTCTATGAAGTAGAAATAATTTAAAAACATGAAATAAACACAACTCCTAGGAGATGTAAACTGTAAACCAGTATTCCAAATCCTAAGCCAAAATTTTGTATGTGTATGTACATGTACTTGCTCAGAGGACATTAAAGCCGTAGGCAGATAAAGGCTAAATAATTATTCTAGGAAAGTATATTTGAAGTTGACTGTACATTCAGAGAAGCCACCAAAGCTAAGTGTCTTCAGGAGAAACTTGATTTTGCAGACAGAAGTTCCATTGTGCTTCATCAGTCCGGGGTCACGTTCAGCATTTGCACAATTTTATGTTTCATTTACAAACAGCTTTGTTTTATTACTGTGCATCCTTTTTCAATGTTGAACTGATTTTGCTTCATTTTGTATGTTTGTTGTGTTTTTTTTTCCCTTTACCATCCCCCCCTTTAAAGTCGATTTATGTACCACACGCCTTGGCATTCAAGAGATCATATTCGTCAAAGGTAGTGTCTCCATTCCCAGTAGTTGGCCATTGTTGCATTGCATGTCCCTGTATTAACCCATTGAATCTGTAGCTCCGTGTCACATGTGCACTAACATCACAAACATTGACTATGCATGCGTGAAATGTAAGAAAATACGAGCAGCAAGTTCTTTGTAGAGGTTGTCTACCAAAAATGCATTGACCTCGGGATTGTTAGAATGCATGCAAGTATCACTGCACAGCAGTGCACCACTGTGCTGGGTAATGTGGATGATCCTTGAGCTTCAGAACAAATTGGTTTTCAAGGCAATTAAATATGTATGTGTATTCTTTTTTCAGTACTTAAAATATGAGTTCAAGTGAATTGTCACACTTTAATTGGCATCTTTCAAAATTGTTGAGTTTGCTGGAATCTTAATGAAACCCTGTATCAAGCTAAAATCAAGACAGAAGTTGCATTTTTATTTCAGGAATGTTGCTTCTTCCTGAATTTTTTATTGTCCTGTCTTCACAGTCACAACAGTGTTATGTGGGATAGGAAAGTCACATTCTCTATCACTTTACCTTCTGATTCGGGTAGCATTGTTGAATTTGTGTTTTAAAAAAAGAAAGTGTTAACTTGGAGCTTTACCAATGGTGCTTGCTAACCACCTATCTGAGGGATTTCTTAGTAGAGCTGTGATCCTACCTCAAATTCTATTCACTGAGAACAGAGGTAGACTCACCCATGTGGCCATACAGTAACTAGATAAAGCTAATTTCAGGGTAGTCTTTCTTAACATTTTGTCCTTAAAGTTGACTGTTCATGGAGAATCTCTTTCCAGAAGTGGAATACATGTGTTTACAGCTGTCCTTTAAAATCTACATACATGTATGTGGGCAGAGTTTTTTTTTTCTAAGTAGTTCACTTATTGCAGTTGTGAAGTTTCTTTGACACTCTTAAAAGTCTGTGAGAGGAAGTCCTCCTAAACTTCAACACAACCAGGTAGTATCCCTGATAACATACTAAACCCCATTTCAGTAGTGTTAAAAACTTATTCTTAAACTAGTTTCACTGAGAGGAAAGGAGAAAATACCTTTATATTTCTATAAACATAGTCTTTCTCCTTTTGGTTGGCTTCTGGTGTTGTAATATTCTAATTTTAGTTTAGGGGTTGTTTGCTCTGTTTTACACCAGCCAGTTTTGTGGGGTTGCCTTTGAGATGGGATTTCCCATCTCACACCAGAATGTCATTCCGCTTTCAAATGTCCTTTTCCTTTCTTGATTCATAGAAAAGTTGCACAAACTTACACAGGTAGTCATTACCAGTCATACCAGCATGACTCCCGACTATGGATATTCTTGCTCCAGAATAAAACAGGGAAAGGGAAATACCAATACAAGTACACACCAGTCTATAATAATTTCTTAGCTTATGCTACTGTAACTGTTAATATAGACATGCCTTTATGCTCTTTTGAAATTAAATCAAGGTGACCTACTATATAGTACTCACTGATTTAACTAAATCCATTTGGCTAAATCTACTGAAAAACAGAATAAAAATTGATTTGGTCTTTGGGGACAGGTTTTGTATAGTGGTGGAAGACAGGAGTGGGACATAATATAAAATCACAGCTTTACAGTTGGCTTATATGCTTCACTCCCAGTTTGACCCTGAAGTTGTTGCTCACTGCACTGTGAACACCTTTGCTACAGAAGCTTGACTTTTGACACAGCAATGGCAAAGACAGAACACTTCCCTTCTGAGATTTTGGAAGATACAATGGTCATCCCTCCCCCCATACCTCTGAGTATGCAAATAAAACCTGCTTCTGTTTTTCTTTCCTTTAGAGAGCCTACACAGAAGAGGAGCTTAATGCCAAGCTGACCCGACGAGTACAGAAAGCTGCACGCAGACAAGCCAAGCAGGAGGAGCTAAAGAGGTTACACAGAGCTCAGGTAGTGTCTTACAATCTTCTTGTCATGGCAGACAGTTAAGTCTATGTGAAAGCACCATGATCCTGACACTCGTCTTGAGTGTGTCAGAGGAGGATCCAGAGACTGAGCTTTCCTTTGTTTCTACAAGATTGTCCCCTGCTCCTTCTTTAAAATCTGGTACCATGTCACAGACATGGGAAGAATGGCTGAAACCTATTATGATAGTTTACAGTGAGAAAAATAATTCCCATAACACTTCTCTACCTGGAGCCGAGTGAAGCATCGTGCACTGAACGGAACAGTGACAGTCAGATAATATCTGATGAAGCTGCGCATATCGTTGCCTTGCTAGATTGTGTTGCTGGGTGACATTTCACTGAATTAACCTCTATTTACAAGAGAATGTGTTGGAAAACTGCTGGCATCATCTCTAGGTTATGGAATTTGTTTAAAACTTGAGGTAGCAGCTCAGCTGATTGAACAGCATCACCTTTCACTTCAGTGTTTAGGAAGGTGATTGAAGATGTAGCAAATAAGTGAGTATCAAGTTGTTTGCAAAATTAAGGGAGAGAATGCAAGGAGGTGGATGTTGTCACTGGAAGGATTGTGGTGCTAGTTTTTGAAGCAGCTTTTGAAGCTGTGTATTGTTGAATACAAATACTTGTCTTTGAAAAGGCCTTTTTGACTGAAGTCACTTAGTGCTGGAGGAGCGCTGCAGACAGAGAAGGAGAATTGCTGTTGGTGAGTTTCTGCTCCATTCTTCTTTGAATAGATCATCCAGCGGCAGCTTGAACAAGTGGAAGAAAAGCAGAGGCAACTTGAGGAGAGGGGGGTTGCTGTGGAGAAGGCTCTTCGAGGAGAAGCAGGTATCCATCAGAATTTGGGTTGGTTTTTAATATTTTATTTTCAAGTACTTGTGCAGGAGTCCATAGCTTCTTGGATTGCAAAGACAACTGGACCATTATAGCTTAGAGGACAGAGTCCAATGTGAATCATTCTCCCTTTTCTACTCTCTTTTTGAGGCCTCATTTTTCCTGTGTTTCTTCTCATTCTGGGACTTCCCTATCAGCAGAGGCTTAGTTTCCTTGTGTTTGCCTGAGGTTTAGGAGATAATCCTCCAACTATTAATAATGGCTGGCTGACTGTTTCTGCATATTTCTGGATATTGCAGCTAGAAAATCGCGAGGGTTTCCTAGCTGCGATTCACATAAAGCTGTCACAGTAAGAGAATGCTGTTTGTATGCTAAGGAAGTAATTGTGAAATTGTGTGTGCTTTCTCTATTGTGTTGGATTATCAAGGTAATGTCCTTACAAGGGACCATCACAGAACATCTTCCTCACTGCACAGCCCAGCACACTGGCTACTTTCAACAAACTTGTGCAGAGCAGAAATGCACAAGTGTACTTAAAGGTATCCATCAAGCTGTTAAAGGAATGTTACGTGTACTTCAAATTAAATGAGTATCATCTGATCTGGCAAAGGATATGAATGGAGGAGTACTTGGTTCAGATAATGCTGACAGTAGTTTAATGATTTGGGAAAAAAGAATCCTTGATTGCAAGGAGTCAAATATCCAACAGGCAAATGCAGTGTGTGAATACCTGACAGGCCCAGGATTATGTACCCAAGTGCAAAGATCAGAGATCAGAAATGGTAGTAGTGGAACAGGTGTTTGGAAAATGTTTTGGCTTGTTACTTGAAGAGCCACCACTATGCCTGTGAAGATGGAACTTGATTAAGCAGTGAAGGTTCACCAGAGGAAAAGTCTCTTGTGACTTCCTGCCAATTACTTCTCAGCCAGAATTAGGTATGTTTAATGTTCTGTGAGGACATGCCAAAGCAGCAGGACTGAGTGGTAACCAAAGTAAATAGATACTACACATGTGGAGAAAAATCTTGAGGACTTCAGTGGTTTTGTGATCTGACTGACTTTTTAATTTGTGGGTTCAAAAAACTAGCCTTGTGCAGAAACTCTCTTTGTGGTGTAGCTTCCTTCCTTATGCCGTGTGTTTCTGTGTCGCCCCACTCTGTTCTCTGGCCTGCCAATTACTGCACTTAAAATCACCTCTCTTATCTCTCATCATTGTTTTCCTTTTGCTTTCTTGCATCTATAAATCTGTCTTGACTACTCAGCTGCTAAATGACTTTCATGTAAGACATGTCAGCAGAGGTAGAAAATCTTAGCGGCTGGGAGGATGTGATTCATGATAGAGTGTTTTCTCATTGAAGAATGATAAAAGAATGCTTAAAAAACATTCAGAGGGAAGAATATGACCAAGAATAAGAAACACTATTTTATATGGAAGACTGCAAAATTAATCCCTTGTATAACTAACTTCTCACTCCCAACTCTCCCAAAATGGAAGTTGTCTTAGGTAAGCTTGTGTATATGTGAATTTCCTAGTAGAATTATGACATGGTAGGTCACTCTTTGCAAAATTAATCTTTTCTTCATGAAGTCTCCAGGATATTTTTTCTCTTGCAACATGTTTGTATCACCGGATCGTACCTTATGGTTACAGAACCTTAATTCTGCTACAAAGAATTCACCAGCCTTAACCCCTCCAGTTATTTCAGGGAATTAACAAGAAATACATTTCTGGCGGGGGAAACGTGCTCTAACCTGTGTTGACTGAAACACAAGATTATAAATTAATTTCATCCTTCACCTCTCTAACCACTCTTGCATGGACATTTTACATATGTTTGCACTAAAGTATCTGATTTTCTTCTTTTACAAGTCTGCAGTATCACATTCCTTAAGTACAATTAATTTTTGCCTCCAATTATCATTTATTATTTATGAAGGCATTATAATTTTCTTGTCATCTGCATTGCCTAAAATACTGACCTAACAGTGACCACTGCATTCAGCAAGTACCATTGTGTCATGCATTTTTCTCTGGTCAGTCCCTCCCCTAAATGAAAACATGTAAACAAAAATTTTAAAAGGGAAGGGCAGTGTTATAAAGTGGTGTTGTCATACGAAGAAGAAAAATACATCTCTTCCCTTTTAATAAGCTTGTGCAAGGGGAGGAAATGGGGCAGGGTGAGAGGTATGCCTCCTGTGCACATACCATGCCCACATAAATAGAGAAGGTCTGCAATGCAGGATCCAAGTATTGTCTGTCCCATGAACAGCAACCAGTGTTAACTGTTCTAGGAAAA